AGATCCTGTCCGACGTATCACCTTCCTCGAGTCACCAGGAAGAACCATTCGAGAGACACGATATATGTATATATATATATATATATGTATGTATGTATGTATGTATGTATATACGAGATCTGCGAGAGGAGCACGTTCTTGGAATCTACGCGCCGCGACGAAGTTGCGTTGCCGTCGGCAACCGACAACAGGCTTCTCCTCTCGATCCGCTGCAACGCGTCGAGCCTCGCATCCCGTGGTCCTGGCTCGTGATACGAGATGGCGACCGGATCCGAAAACCTCTCTCCGCGTGGTAGTGGCGACGATCGTGGCTACGCGACGTAGAAAACGGTCAGAAAACGTAGAGAGACGACGACACGTTCGCAGAGAGACGGGTGCACACAGCGAGAAGAAAAAGGCGAACCGATCCCGACCGAAGTCAGCAGCGAACTGACTGGTCCGCGGCTGCTTTGGGCCTCTGAATGCCTGGCGAGAGGCCCCGGGTTCAGGTACCCCAGCCAGCCACAGCAGGAGTGGGCCTGCTGGTGGGGAGAATAAAAAGGTGAGCCTAGAAAGGACCTAACTAACGTTGAAAGGGGACGGGACCCATCCATAGCTCCGGCCAGGCCGAACGAGGACAAAGATATCGTGGTAGGGGAACGTGGGACAGAGACCGTGGCAAGTATTACCGAGTGAAACATGCTGCGCGGAGAGAGGAGGAGTCGGTGTTCGAGGGAAAGGGGCAGCCAGGGGGCAGCCTGGTCTCCTCTGGGTCCCCTCCGCCCCTATTCAATTATATTTCTCCATGGTAAATGCCTATATTGTTACGTTTGTCAATGGCGAGCTAAGTGAGGGTCACGTAGATGGGTAATGCCTTCTGAATTTTAGCCTGCGATCCTGCTGCTGCGATTCTCTCTTTTCCTCTCTCTCTCTCTCTCTCTCTCTGTTCTTCTTCGTCACTCTCCATCGAGATTTGTTAGCGTCGAACTATGGTTCGTCTCACCTGTATACTACGCTGATTTTCAACCGGGGTTGAAAAGTCGTTTCGGACGTTGATCTGTTGACACGAGTCGAAGGATGATGATTCATGCTTCTTTCGAGGTTTAGTTGCATGCAATGACTTTCTGTTACCTCGACCTCACTGGATTGCAGCGAAACGATAGAAAAAGTTATTGTGAACTTGCGAAATTTCAACTAGAAGAAACACGAATTTTATCGTTATTCGAACGTATCGACTGTTTGAACCGCCAAGATTCCCAGGACAGATCGTCGCCTGCGATCGGCGTTTTTCGCGATTAGGAACAGGTATTATTGTTTGGGGGAAATTAAGCGGTGAGGAGGGAACAGACTTATGTAATGAACGACCGACACTAGTTATTACACGAACAATGAGCCGCGTACACGTTCCAGCTGCTTCCGGTTGAAAACTTTTTCTCGTGACCATCCTCGCGCGACCAGCCAGCGTAGAAAGTGCATTTTAATCGTACTAGGAGATACCGAACGTACCAAGACCGAACCACCTCCCTTTCCTTCTTGATGAAACGGAGTTAGCGGGACAACGAACGCCGCCTCGAAACAGCGCTCATTAACGAGGGATTTTAATTTAATTTCTTTTGTTGTTTGGTTCCGTGACGGACGTGTGGAGGGAACAGCAACGAATAATAGAATAATAAAAACGGAAATTACAATGACACCATGATGAAAGTAATTGAATCGAGAGAATGGATGGTGAGGAATATAGAGGAGAAATGATCTATAAAGTAATGTACCGTTTTACGAAAGATAAAACAATTATTTGAAAACATTAGAACACTGTATATGAGTCAACCTATATAGGTATACCAGACTCGGATCTTCAGTTTCACAGACTATGTAAAATTAAACAAATTGCTCTAATCTCGACGAAGGAGGGACCATCAAAAATACTTACAACATTCTCGTCGTGTCTTCATACTTGGGCAATAAAAAATCGGTTTTATTGCTCATTACCAGGGGCTCCTTGCCAATTTTATCAAGGTTCTGCATTCCAAGAAGTTGTAAACCGTAATGGTAACAAGCTTATGAAGAACAATTCTCAATAGCAATATACAATATCCATTACAAATAGTACCGTCCTTCATCAAGTTTTGTTACCATTACAGTTAAGAGTCAAGGATCTCTCGGATGGTGTGCCTGACGTAACTGAGCGTAAAATGGGAAAAAGTTCGTTGATGGAATTTACTGTTCCGAATTCCTAATCAGCGAGCTTCAACCACCGCGCAAAGCACTCTCCAAGCACAGGTATATAAGAACGGAATCGACAGGTCGCGAGTAGAGATTTTCCTTAGTTCTTCCTGACAATCATTCGTCGTGCCACAGTTTCACTTTTCATTCGAAAGTATCAGCAATCTTATCACTCGCCACCATTTCAACGGAACGTGGTGAAATTTGTCAAAAAAACGTTTCGTGACAGGTGAATCCGAGTCTATCAGTATCGCACTCGAGACGCGTCTCGACTCTCTCTCTCGAGCAGCTTACCTTAAGCGTACAATTGTTGTTGTGATTGACCGGTGGATAAGCAGGATGTCCCGGTAAGTGGGGGTGTGGGTGTCCAGGGTGATGTGGATGATCGGTCATCATTCCAGCACCGCTGTGATGATGCCCGTTGCTGCCCATGCCCTGTCCAGGCTGAAGGGACCCGTACGGGGTGGCTGGGTCGATTGCTGGCCCATGGGGCGGCGAATGGGGACTAGGCAGGTCCGGGGTAGTGGTGGTGCCGCCACCGCCGCCTCCGCCACCTCCGCCGCCGGTACTGTAGCCGTGATGAGGCCCGGAATGATGCGGACTGCTCGAGAGCGAGGGATGATGCGGGTAGGCTGCCGAGTGGCCCGGATGGTGGGGGTTCATACCAGCGGTTAGAGCGCTCGCCAGCTTGACCAATGAGAGGGTGGGCCCGACGAGCCCACCAACAGCTTCCCACGACGAAAAACAAAAGCTCGTGGCCTAACCTAACTGGAAGCTTACTGGGGAGCGGCTCTTTTCGAACCGGCTCGCTTCTTCCGGCTCTCTGCTGATACCTGAAACCAGAAAGAATAACGTTACGAGGGTTGTTTTACGCGGATGTTATGTATTTATGGTCGCCGGCCACGGTCGCGTTCACGGTTAACACGGACCTCTCCAGTAGTTGTAAATAGAGGCAACAACGTGTTGTAAAGATGGGGTAATTGGTGGAATAACTGTGTTTGACGAGTGTTAAACGTGAAATTCTTTGCGTAAGATTTGTACAAGTGACGTCAACCGTTAATTGCGTAGTAACGACAAATGCTTTTATTCTTCCTCTATTTACCGACGTACGTCTGTTGTAATAAAGAATTATTAATTATTAATAAAAATGTAAAAATGTAATAAAAAATGTCTGAATGTAATAAAAATTATGTAATCGTTACGAGAGAAATTAGACATATTGCAAACGGAGATCGGTATGTTAAGAACAATTGTAAACCGCGAGATCTGTGATTCACAACACTAGGCTACTAGATTCTAGAACGTATTTGACATCACGTATGTATTTGATATCGAGCGGTACAGTCGAACTGCGTCTACAGGAAAAAATGATCGGAATTCTCGAAACATCCTGCGGATGGTGAAAGTCTAATTGCCGCGGGAAGTCAACAGTATCGATCAACAGATTCGATCGGCGAATCGTCCGCGAGGAAGTTCGAGCAGCCTTTGAAACTTATTTCATAAGGGGGACAGCGAGCTGGCGAAAAATCTCGAAAACACACAATATTTAGGCCAGGCGACAGTATCCGAACTGGTCGTAGAAGGCGACCACGATGGCATTACATTCGGCCGCGATGAAACCGCGCCGGCTGATATTAATTTCACCCGGCGGCCAGAGTTCCATGCAATTTTATTGGCCTCTTAAGACGACGCGCAACGATTTCATAATGTCTTCTTCCTTCGTCCCCTTCCGCGTCTCCGTCGCGATTCCAATGAAACAGCAGTTCGTAGCAAAACGATCCAAATGCCGGGGGTTCGCGAGGGGAAACGCAGAGAAGGAGAAGGAGGAGAAACGAGAAAAAGGGATGAGGGACCCTTTTACGACGGGGTAATTCGCGAAAGAGTTCGCCCGCCGAAGGAATATTTAAATTCAATCCGGATGCAACGGTAGTAAAGCATCACGGTCGCTGCAGATGGGAGTGGGGCAGCAAGCTGGAAGGGTCGAAGGGTGGTAAACGTGGCCTTGTTCGCCTCGTCCTGCTTCTCTTTCCTTTGACGCTTTTTCTCATCCCTCCCTGTGCAGTAAGTCCTCGTCCTGCTCGCCCTCGCAGGACCGTGCGATAAAGACGATCGTCGTCGTTGTAACTACAGGCAGCAACGGATGCCGAGACGGCGTAATAGACATTTTACGAGGATCAGCGCCAAAGTTTATTTGCTGATCGAGCTCGTCGTGTAATTACGTATCGAACGATCGATGGGTGATTTCAATGTTTCTAGTTTGCACGCACGTCATTGCGCAATTTACATTTCACCCATCGTCGTGTGCGAGAATCCAGCCGTTTTTTTCTCGGATTAATGCTTCGAAAAGTCGAGTTAGGTCGCAAATTTCAGGGACATTTTATGAGAGTGGTGTATTAGATCGATTGACAAACGATCTCTAGTATTTTTTTGCTAGTTAGATTTTCCGGTGATCGAGAAGCGTCGTTAATCGACAGAAAGGAAACGTCGAACAGGGTGTAACCTGCGTGGCACGGCTAGATTTCTCGCGGCTGATGTAGGCGTGACAACGTCAAAGATCTAATTTTCCGGGTTATAATTCGAACAGGGTCCAGGGGAAAACAGGGGGCCAGGGAAATCGATAGGAAAGATAATTTCGATCGGGAAGTTGCTCAATGGGAGCACAGCCACCGGAAACGAAGCGTCCGCTGCGGCGGCGAACAAAGCCCGCTCTAATTACACCCCCTCCTCCCCTCCACCCTTTATGATCTTTTCCGGCATTCAATCGGATCTTCTCGTTTTCCTCGCCCTTCGCGCGATTTAATCTCGTTAAATTGTCGTCGTCAACACGTAATATAGGCGTTCCTCCGAAAGCGAGCGATTCATCTTCCAACAGTTTCACCACGAGGCCTCGAGAGATCTAACACGGTTCTCGTGGAAGGAAATCAGAGAAGAGAGCGTGTGTAAATTTGAAAAATTTTCATTCAACGAAGTATCCGAAAATGATCAGAACAGTTAAAGTTAGGAAAGTTGTATCGCGTCCCGATATTATAAAACGATAAAATATTCTCCATCTGTTGGTCCGATAATTTACAAAGTAAGAACAATTCTGTCCACGGTTTATCTTTCTTTATCTGAACGCAACTTAAATTTGTTTCTAGCTTCGTGTCTAAATCATCTCGCGCCGGCAAACGAATTTTCTCCTCCCGTGGAAGGAAGCTCACGCTTCCCACGAAGCCTCGTTAATCCGAGAAAAATGTTCGGCCGAACAATGGCCGTTCGATTGGTTATCAAACAGCCTCGTTAACGTCGGATTATCCGACGCGGCCAGTGAATAGGAGGACTAATTACATTAAGAGGCGACGAGTCGAAGAATAAGAGAGAGGGCAGAAGGAAGAGAGAGCAGAATCGTCTGGTGACGATGGCGATGAAATGCAAATGCTTGGTGAAATTTTGGTGGAGGCGGCGGCGGCGACGGCCGAGGCACGGTATTAGAATTCATAAAACGAGCTGACCTGTCCCTTCGTTAAGGGCCGTGAAACCGGCGTGTGACCTGCTCGACACGCCCTCCTTAATTAACAATAATCGTCCTTCCTGGTAGCTCAGCGGGTGTCGCTTCGGGACACGATCGCCGACCTATACGAAACTGTTCTGTCTTTTTGTAACCGGGTCCGCGTAACGAGTGCCTTTTCTTCTCTTCTCGGGTCGTGCCACGTCGTCCTATTTCGCCGGGTCCCTCGCATTAAGGATATAACGGTGCCCGATTCCTGACCGTTTTTCGGCAGGAAACTGCGCGCCCGACCAACTTGCCACGCTCCCAGGTATATATCCACACAGTGTGTCTACGCTTCTCCGTGGAATATCCAATTTACCCTCCGACGATTTATTTTCACTTTGGCTCGTTTAACCTTCGCCGGCAGCCACTCTGTCGATCCGATTCTTCGATTCGTCGATGCTCGATGTGACGCGAGTATCGCGAGCCGCGCGGCAAATGAAAAGTATGGTTGTTCGACGCGTGAGGCTGATTTCAATTTCGTTGGGAACGTGACGTGTAATCACGCTTCTCCTCTACTACGATTGCGCATGTAATATACGCGATTGCAAGATGTAATATTTAGAACGTCAGCGTGCTGTATCGCGTGTAATAACTGTGCGGAAAATAATCGAGGAGCGACTCGAACGTGGCTCGAAGAAGGAGAGAGAATTATTATACCTATTCCTTGCGTTAATTACAGTCTATCGTGACTCTTATTACAAATACCGCACCGTCAATTAGAAAAAAAAAA